ATCTCCTAAATTGAAATTGCTCAACCTCTAGCACAGAGCCACATTCTATTCACACCCCTGGGAAGTCTTTTGATGGGCTGCCAAGACCCCACACTTCCCTGGGGACTGCCTGGTGATATCCTTGTCTCTGTCCCCATGGCAATGTGCTTTTTACAGTGATTTCTCGCATGACTGCTAGGATCTCATCTTTCTGGCCTCTGCGCAGGCAATGTTCCTGGCTGCTTTCATTTCCGGCAAAGGACAGGAAGGACTATGCAAAGGGCTGAGACACCTTCTCATTTCCGCTGCCTGATGCTGCCGGGGCTGTAGAAATGAAGGAAATTCAACTCTGGGTAAATGATACCACTTGAGGCCTGAGGTAAGTGAGCAACATGCCAGCCACTGCCCCCATCACAGGCCAGGAGCCCATAAAAATTTGCACAGAAACAGCAAACACCACCATGCCCTAGGAATAAAGAAGTGTGAGGGTTCTGTTCATGCCCCTTCCAGATGCTATTCACCAGGCAGGCGCCCATCCCTAGGTCCTGTGGGTGGGTAAGCATTGGCTTCCAAAGGCTTTTCACTGCCCTCTTCTCCAATAAATTGCCTTCTTCCAAAAGGGAGGCCCCACTTCCACACCAGGAAGCAGCCTACGAGCAATGACCTAGGAGTCAAACCACCTCTATGCAAATGTCACTGCAGACCCCACCCACCACCCACTCCAAGGGCTAAGCCTGAAGCTCAACACCAACTGAGACCACAGCCTTACTCTGCTCCTTCCCCTCCCTGTCCTGCTCCCCTCATTCCATTGATCCTGAGAGCGTGCCCTCAACACCTCCCGTGTGCTGGGCTCCCAGTTGCAGGGGGCTTTGAAGAGCTCCTCTAAGAGACAGTGATCCTCCCACCATCAGCAGCATTGCTGTTTATTGAACTCCTACTATGTATCTGCCACTCTGCTAAAGCTCTTGAGAGTTATCAAGTGTAACCCCCACAACAATCATATGAGATGGGGATGATTATTAGTCCTATTTTACAGATGACGAAATAAAGGTTAAGACAAGTAAATCCACTTGCTCAACATCAAGGCGCTCACAGGTGTGGAATCAACACAGCCGCTTGAGCTGGAATGGGGCTGTGCACCCTGAGAGAACAGGACAAAACATCCCGAGGCTCACAGTGTCCAGATTCCCACTACAGAGCTCTCCATCACATCTCCTCTGTTAGCCTCTGGTCAGAATTATCTCTTTAAGGACAAACAAAATAAAAATCTCACATTCAGAAACACACACACACACACACACACACACACACACACACACACACACACACCACAAGATGGATCTTTCATTTCAAACCACCCAAAAAAAAGAAGTACAAACCAGTCTGTAGTTTCCTTAATCCCCAAGCACAGATTCCTGGACCGTATCACACATACTTGAATGACCTCATTACTATCAATTATCCCTCATAGAAAACAAGCAAGACAAACACATTCTGATTTGGGGAAGACCCAAGAGCTGGTGTTCTCAGGAGGAAGTCCAGCCTTTGGGGTGAGCAGAGCGAGATTAGTGGGTCTGATCTTCAGGGATTACAGGGTGTACTCTACCTCCTCCTGCCTAGCTGCTCTCCCCCACAGTGTCCACTGGCATCGATATGTTGCTAAGATTTTTGGAGTGCTTTGTGTATGCCAGCCCTGTGTCAGGAGCTTCACCTGCCACACCTCTTCTAATCCAGGCTGGGCGTGGTGGCTCACAACCTGTAATCCTAGCATTTTGGGAGGCCGAGGCAAGAGGATAGCTTGAACCCAGGAGTTCCAGATCAGCCTGGGCAACATGGTAAGACCCCATTTCTACAAAAAGTACAAAAATTAGCCAGGTGTGGTGGCAGACATCTGTGGTCCCAGCTACTTAGGAGGCTGAGGTGGGAGGATCTCTTGAGCTCAGGAGGTCGAGGCTACAGTGAGCTGTGATTGAGTCGCTGTACTGCAGCCTGGGCAACAGAGCGAGACCCTCTCTCAGAAAAAAAAATCTCTTTTGATCTTTACAATCACCTGCATGATGCACACTACCATTTGACAGGTGGGGAAACCGAGGCTCAGAAAAGTCCAGTAACTTACCCAGGTTCACACTGTTAGAAAATGCCTGAACCGTGGCTGGCGTCTGGGCCTGAGTCCAGAGCCCTATCTCTTACACTCCAGTGATGACGCCTGGGCCTTGCCTGGGTCTGCAGACCCCTCAGCAACGACCCTAGGGCTTATCTAACACGATGGCTTCAGGGAGCCAAAGACATGGAGAGGACATGGGATTCGGGTCCATGGAGAAACGTGAAACTAAACCTAAGCTCCTAGCCTGAGAAGTGTGTCCTCTGCATCCCTGTTGCAGAAATGTAGAGAAGAAATCTACAGAGCTGGGGCTCACAAACCAGTCTGCTATTTCCATATGAAGAGAAGAGACTGGTGGGACCAAGGCTTTTTTTTTTTATCTTTTGCTGGAAGGCCCTTGGTGGGTGTTTCCACCCTTGCTGGTGATAAAGTGTTCCTTTAATTATCAGTGTCGGGCTGAGTCCGGAAAGCTATTTTCCTCTCTGTTGTCACAAGGAAATGAAAGGCGTGAGACTCCCAGGCGGCTGTCATTTGGGGGCTGCAGGTGGCCACAGAGAGGCTGCCTGTGGGGGAGAGGGGGGTATGTGTCGTGATCGAGCCGCTGCAATGACTGTCCAAGCTCAGATATTCCCCCGTGTCTGTTACTATCACCAAAAAACAGTAAGCACCCTGACACAGCTCAGTCCCTCTCCTTGCCTGTCCCCCGAAGATGCATTCCTTTTCAAAAAACCCTGACGGAAGGAAAGCAAGGAAGTGTATTTTTTTCTGCCTCTGACCTTCAGTTCAAGTCCTCAGAATACTCCAAGGTCTCAGCCTCATGATTCAGATGTCCCTGCCCCCAGGCTGGCCTTCACTGGCTGGAGCCTAGACATTAGGCTCAGGAAGACTGGGCTTTTCTCTTATCCCATATCACAGCCGTAAACCTTCAGCGACTTCCCACTGCTGTCTCAAAACGGGCTACACATCTGTGTTAAGCTTTTTTTTTTTTTTTTTTTTTGAGACAGAGTCTTGCTCTGTCACCCAGGCTGGAGTGCAGTGGTGCAATCTTGGCTCACTGCAACCTCTGCCTCCTGGGTTCAAGCGATTCTTGTGCCTCAGCCTGCGGGGTAGCTGGGATTACAGGCACACGATGCCATACCCAACTAATTTTTGTAATTTTAGTAGAGACGTGGTTTTACCATGTTGGCCAGGCTGGGCTCGAACTCCTAACCTCAGGTAATCTGCCCGCCTCAGCCTCCCAAGAATGATTTCCAGCATTACAGGTGTGAGCTACCATACCCAGCCTGCGTTAAGCCTTTAAGGCCACTGTGATCAAGACCCTAGAGGCACAAAGGGTGGTGCTAAAGAGCCTTGAGCTGGGAATCAGCACACCTGGCTTGAAATCTTAACTGTGTAACCTCAGACAAGTCTCTCCACCTCTCTGAGCCTGTGTTAGTTATCGATTGCGGCACTTTAAAATTGCCTCAAATGTTAGAGACTTAAAACACACAATTACTATCTTACCATGTCTATAGGTCAGGAATCCAGCCATGGCTTCCCTTCGTCCTTGGCCCAGTTTCTGTCAGTAGGCTGCAATCGAGGTGTCAGCCTGGGACATGATCTTATCTGAAGGCTCAACTGGGAAAGGGATCCACATCAAAGTTCACTCCTGTGGTTTTTGATAGGATTCGGGTCCCTGGGGGCTGTTGGACTAAGGGCCTTGCTTTCTTGCTGACAGCTGACAGGAGATGCCCTCAGTTCCTTGCCACATGGGTCTCTCCTGCTTGCTTCATTGGAGCAGCCACAGCAGAAAAGCCAGAGACTGTGCCAGAGGAACCTCACTTACGTGATAAAGTTATAAAAGAAATCAGTCTTTATGGCCAGGCACGGTGGCTCATGCCTGTCATCTCAGCACGTTAGAAGGCCAAGGTGGGTGGATCATGAGTACAGGAGTTCGAGACCAGCCTGGCCAAGATGTTAAAGCCTGTCTCTACTCAAAATACAAAACAAAATTAGCCAGGCATGGTGGAAGATGGCAGAAGTTATGAGATATGGCAGGTGCCTGTAATCCCAGCTACTCAAGAGGCTGACGCAGGAGAATCGCTTGAACCCAGGGGGCAGAGGTTGCAGTAAGCCGAGATCTCACCACTGCACTCCAGCCTGGGTGACAGAGGGAGACTCTATCTCAAAAAATAAATAAATAAATCAGTCTTTATAACTTTACCATAGAATTGACATCTCATAACTTCTGCCCCCTTCCATTTGTTTGGGGCAAGTCACCCAGGCCCGGCCCACACTTGAGCAAGGGGAGTTACACGAAGCACACGCAGGAGAGAAGGCCATTCAGGGCCATGTTAGAAGCTGCCAGAAGCTCCCCACGCATTTCGTTCTGCATCCAGCACAGACAATACTAGGGTTTTTACAGAACTGCACGAGGTGGAACATATACATTGCTTAACGCAGTGCCCGTGTGTTATCAGTATTCAGTACGCGGTTCTCTGACTTCTCTAGAGGAGTGTTTTCCTCAGCCTTCTTTCATGTTCATCCCCCACCCTTAAAAGCCTTTTGGGGTTTCCCCAGTTGACCCTCTCTCTCTTATGAAATCTTTTTAAAATTTTGTATTTTAATATTTTGGGTCCATAGTAGGTATATACATTTGGGGGTACGTAAGACATTTTGACAAAGGCATGCAGTGCATTAGAAACACATCATGGAGAATGGAATATCCAGCCCCTCAACTATTTCTCCTTTGTGTTACAAGCAATCCAATTACACTCTTTTAGTTATTTTTGTGTACAATTATGTTATTGTTGACTATTATTGACTGCTGGGTTAGCAAATACTAGTTCTTTCTCTTCTAACTTTCTAACTATGTACGCAGAATTGTGTGTGTATGTGTGCACACACATGCCACAAACATGCGCACACACACACACCCCACATGGCCACACTCTTTCCCTGATGCTGCAGGCTCTCCTCCAAGTCTGGGCCCCCCCAGCTGGCCTCTTGCCGCCCAGAGCCTCTTATGATCCTTCTTCAGCTGATGAGCTCCTGGTCATGCATAAAAACTCTGTTGAAGAATCAGGGTAGCAGGCAGCTCTAGAATGTCCCTCAAAGGTCCCTGCCTCCTATTGTTCACACCCTTGTGCAAGCTCCGCCCCTTCAGTGTAAGCCGGACCTACCAACTCACTTCTAACAAATAGAATATAGCGAAAGTGACAGGATGTCTGTTTGAAGTGAGGTTACCTCACTACGCTGGCTCCGTCTTGCTCTATCCCACTTGGTGTGTTGGAAGCTGGTGCCCACAAGGAACTGAATCCTGACAATGACTATGAGAAAGCTTGGAAGCGGATCCTCCTCTGCCAGCCAGGCCTTCAGATGAGACCTCAGCCTTCACTGCGGCCTTGCGAGGGGTGAGGTAGGGTACCCAAGGAAGCCTGGAATGTTGACCCACAGAAACTGTGAAATGACAAATGTGTGTTATTTTAAGTTGCTAAGTTTTGAGTAATCCACTACATTGCAGCAGATAATACAATCGGCTTCTTTAGAAAAACTCTCCTGATAAAACCATTTAGGCACAGACACAGAGGCAAGGACACATTCATCTAAACACACACGCTCACATACATGCACTCACATGTACACACACACACACACACATACACACGAGCATCAAGCACCCTCACTCTGTGATGATTTGACCTTGGAATGAATCACACTGTCTTGTCACTGCATTTCACCGCCCAGTCTCCCCACTGTGATTCGGGGAGGCTGAGGACTGTGTCGTCCGTATCACTTGATACCTGATCCTTACAGGTATCAAAACATTTTCAGCACATGAACACTCATCAAGCAGTCCTTTGGACATGAGGATCGAGGACTCATTCTGCCTCTTGGGTTGGCTGTGTCTCCTTGCCTCTTTTTCACAAACAGAGAGATTGCCTTTACAACATCCCTTTTCCCTCGCCGCTTCTACTAATGACAGGAAATTACTTACCCTTCTTTCCTGGAAAACAGCCTGCAGGTTTCCTCACAGAGAGTAACGGGACTGAGAAGACCAGAGCATTTGCCGGCACAGCTGTGTGCCTAGAACACCAGGAAGGAAAAGAGCGCGGTTCTTGAAAAGGGTACCGACCTCGCCGGGAGTTACAGGCACTGCCAGGCAGTTTATGATGTTGTGACAAAGCGAAGGGCTCAGACAGCCAGCATGGCAAAAGCAGGATGCTCGGAGCCTGACTGCGTGAGCTTGGAGCCAGCGCTGCCCCTTGTCAGCGAGGTCACTTGGGGAAAGTTACTCAACCTCTCCCTGCCTGTTTCTTCTGCTGTAAAATATGAAAAACCGTAGCATGTGCCTCTCAGGGCTTTGTGAGGATTTGGAAGGAGCACGTGAGCATCCCTGAAATAGAACTCATAAAGAGTAACTATTATTTATTATTATTGTCATTATTAAGTCCAGAAAAGAAAGAGAAAAGAACGGGTGGCCGTAAGCGGGGAAGGCATCCTGGAAGAGGTGGAACCGAGGTAGGAATTACTGGACGGATGGCATCAATTAAGCAAACACTATCGAGGGCAATACATGTGGTGGCAGAAACTGCACAAACTGTTTGAATGGAAGAACGACCCTCAGGTTGCCGATCCTAACAACTAAAGGAGGGGAACGGTGGAGCTTGAGGCAGCCCGGGACACACAGAAAGCTGGGCCAGCTCGCTGTGGGGTCTGTATTCCTGCCTCTCGATGGGTAGGAAGTGGGAGTGTGAGGGGAGGTGGCTCTGTCCTGTCCTGGGGAGAGCCACTGGGGCACAGCAAAAGCAATGAAAGACTGAGATCATGGGAGATGGCGGCCTTGGCACTGAAGACTAAACCCCTTGTAATGTGAAATTAAACATGGTAATCAAAACTATTGCTAACCCAATAGCATTGGTGTGGTGGGTGTTTACCTTAGAGAAAGACTCACCTGCGTGCACAGGGAGACAAGTCCAGAGACGGTCACTGCAGCATTGATTATAAGTGACGACAAATGAAATGAACTACTGTAGAGTATCAGACAGCAATACAAAAAAACGAGGCAAGGAAAACAATATGGCCTCTCCCCAGCAGACTAAACATAGAATTTCGATATGTTCTAGCAACCCCGCTTCCGGGTCTATACCCAAAATAATTGGAAGCAGGGTCTCAAATAGGTATTTGTACACCATGTTCATAGCAGCATTATTCACAGTAGCCAAAAAGTGGAAGCAACCCGCCAATGAATGAGCAGATAAACAAAATGTGAAAAATACTTACAATGGAATATTATTCAGCCCCAAAAAGGAAGGAAATTCTGACACATGCTATGACATGGTTGAACCTTGAGGACATTATGCTAAGAGAAATAAGCCAGTCACAAAAAGACAAATATGGTATGATTCCACCTCTCTTTTTTTTTTTCTTTCTTTTTTTTTGAGACAGATTCTCACTCTGTTGCCCAGGCTGGAATGCAGTAGCACAATCTCGGCTCACTGCAACCTCCACCTCCTGGGTTCAAGTAATTCTCCTGCCTCAGCCTGCCAAGTAGCTGGGATTACAGGCACCTACCACCACGTCCAGCAAATTTTTGTATTTTTAATAGAGACAGGGTTTCACCACGTTGGCCAGGCTGGTCTTGAACCCCTGACCTCTGGTGATCCACCCACCTCGGCGGGCGGATCTGGGATTACAGGTGTGAGCCACCGCACCCAACCAGATTCCACTTTTATGAGGTTCCTAGAGTGGTCAGCATCTCAGACAGAAAGTAGAAGGGTGGTTGCCAGGGCCTGGGGGAGGGAAGGTAGAAAGTTGTTGATTAACGTGTTTAGGGAGATGAAAAAGCTCTGGAGGTGGTTGGTGAGATGGTTACATAACAATGTGAATGTCCTTAATGCCAGTGCACTGTGCACTTAAAAATGCTCAAAATAGGCCGGGTGCAATGGCTCACGCCTGTAATCCCAGCACTTTGGGAGGCCTAGGCCAGCGGATCACCTGAGGTCAGAAGTTCGAGACCACTCTGGGCAACATGGTGAAACCTCATCTCTTTTAAAAAGGCAAAAATTAGCCTGGCATGGTGGCAGTCACCTGTAGCCCCAGCTACTCAGGAGGCTGGGACAGGAGAATCGCTTGAACCTGGAAGGCAAAAGTTACAGTGAGCTGAGATCGCGCAGCGTACTCCAGCCTGGGTGACAGAGCAAGAGTCCATCTCAAAAAAAAAAAAAAAAAAGAAGAAGAAGATCAAAATGGTAAATGTTTTGTTACACATAGTTCACTACCACCACCACAACAAAAAGAACGATATGAGTCTGCATTTTTTAAAAAAGAGGGCGAGGCACAGCAGCTCATACCTGAAATCCCAGCGCCTTGGGAGGCCAAGGCGAGAGAATCCCTTTCTTCATCTGTAAAAAGGGAAAAGTAACACAACTCTCTCATGAGCTGCCAGGAATGTTAAATGAGTTCAAACCCATAAAGGCTTTAAAACAGTGCCAGGCACATAATCCCTTAATAAATATTAGCTATTACCGTTATGATTAGCCTGAGTCCTAAATAATTGGAAGAATTTTAAAAAGATGTTTCAGGAGATGGGGTTTGCTTGGAACAGGGGCAGGCAGTGTAGGTCCCCAAATGCCAGGCTTGCAGAGGGAGTCCAGGTGAATTGTGACTGGAGGGGGGGCTCATGCCTCTGGGGTAGCAGGAAGACCCCTCTCTAAACAGTGCCATCCTGGACTCAGCTCCCCAAGTCATTTCACCTCTCTTCCCAGGACAACTGACTATACGAATGTCTTATTTCCTCAGCTCTTACTCCTACCCACCTCGGCTTAAACTGACAATCACAAAATAATCCAAAGTTGATATGTTTCCCAAAGTCTGATAATTCAGGTTTATGTTTATTCAAAGGCGGGTTGTTATACATATGTTCTTGAATTCCTTCTCTCCAACCTAATTCATCCTCCTCACACATTGTCCCTTCATTCACCCCACAAGACCCTCTAATGGGGCTTAATTGTGTTTACCTTGCCTTTCCCCAGCCTCTTATCTGCAAGGCTCCTTGCTGCCCGAATGTATAAACAAGCCTGATGAATCCAGCTGGACTAAGGCATTCTCTAAAAAAGAGGCTAAGGTGGGGCAAAATCAACACAAACAGGAAACATGGTGGACCAATATGGCTTCACATCCTGTCTCAGTCCCTAAGCAGTATGACAACTGTTCATTCAACAATGGATTTTGGGAGTAGGTGTCAGGCCAGGTGTCAACAGCATCAAACTAGAGACAGGTGCCCATTCAGTGAGGTCTCACATAAAACTCCAGATTTTGGCCTGGCATGGTGGCTCATGCCTGTAATCTCAGCACTTTGGGAGGCCGAGGCAGGTGGATCACCTGAGGTCGGGAGTTGATATCAGCCTAGCCAACATGGTGAAACCCCGTCTCTACCAAAAATATATTTTAAATAATAGCATGTGGTGGTGTGTGCCTGTAATTCCAGCTACTCGGGAGGCTAAGGCAGGAGAAACGCTTGAACCAGGGAGGCAGAGGTTACAGTGAGCCGAGTTTGCATCACTGCACTCCAGCCTGGGCGACAGAGCAAGTCTCTGTCTCAAAACAAAACTCCAGATTTCAGACTGCTCTCAGAGAACCATGGGCTGCGGCAGTGCTGGGCTGCTTTCTCTCCTGGTGACAACTGGCTGAGCCTAACGGCAGCTTCTTCCCCTTATTTTGTCCATTGGAAGCATGACCTCTCCAGCTACCCAGAGCTCCCTACTGTATCTCAGCCAAACCCCTTTTCTGCTGTTTTCCCGTCATCACTCCAACTGATCGCCCCTGTAATCACAAGACATCCAGACGTCAATCACAAGTGCTAACTATACCGGAAAAGCTTGGCGACTAGCTGGAGAAACTCTCAGAGATACTAATGATAATCATCAAAAACAGGGCAAGAATGAGGAGTCCAAGAGTCTTCCTGCAGGACATGACTATTAAGTTCAACCTTGAAGGATGATAAGATTGACAGAGGACAAGGACAAAGGCAAAAAAATAAGCAAGTGGGGTTGCGTTCGGAGAACAGTGTGCATGTTCAGTCAGCAGCCAGGTGCTAAAGGTATGAGGGAGGAAGGGCAGACACATACTGTGGTCAGAAACCTCAAATGCAAACCTGAGCTCAGACTTTTTTTCAAAAGGAAACCCTAGCGACAGAGTCTGTGCTGCAATTTAAGAAGGATCTGACAACATCATGCAGAATGCATTTGGTTCAGGGTGGGAGGCACCGTCTGGGAAGCAATTGCAATAATCCAGGCAGCACATTCGGGGGAAGCTATAGTAACAGAGAAAAGCAACCCCCAAATCCCAGGGAAATCTTCTAAACCCGGACACCGTGCCAAAGTCAGCCAGCAATGAACAGGGAGGTCCTCCTCACTGTCCGAAGGAGACGTTGCCTCCCAACCCTGATTCCATGGGGGAAGGAGCCTTCTAACTTCAAAACCTTCTGAAATCCAATTTTCTAGCTCCTTCAGGCATTGAAGAAACAGCTGGCCCAATGCTAGATGTACACCAGCCCTGGCCCCCCAAGGTCCAACGAGAGCTGTTCCGTCACAACTTCCCTGGGAAGACTCTTTCCTTTATGGTAGCCAACACGTTTCTAGTCTGTAACCATAAAGCAAAGTCATATTTTCTTCAGCATTTGAAGTGAAGTGGCCCTAAGCCAACAGCTGCCCATATTAGGAAGGAGTTCAGTAATTTCCCAGCGGACCTTTTCCACGTTCTTTTTTTTTTCCCTTGTGGTAAATACATATAACATAAAATTTACCATTTGACCCATTTTTAAGTGAACAGTTCACTGCTGCTAAGCATAGCCACATTGTTGTCACCACCATCTATCTTTAGAATTCTTTTCATCTTGCAGAACTAGAACTTTATAGCCACAGAACAACTCCCCATACCCCCTCCACCCAACCCGGCAACCACATTTCTACTTTCTGTGTCTACGAATTTGACGATTCTGGGTGCTCGTATAAATAGAATCATACAGTATTCGTTGTCTTTTGCTTATTTCACTTAGCGTAATGTTCTCAAGCTTCCTCCACACTGTAGCATGTGTTAGGATTTCCTTCGTTCTTAAGGCTGAATAATATTCCATTGTATGCATATTTCATATTTCGTTTATTCATTCATCCGTCAATGGACATTTGAGTTGCTTCTACCCTTTGACTATTGAGAATAATGCTG